TGAGTTCTGTTAACTTAGGTAACTCCCCACCCTCCTCGCCCCTAGCTTCACTGTACTCATTAGATAAAATAGGAATTAGCATAAGGTGGAAGTAATTTCCAACTAACACAGAATTATAGATTTTAAGTTGTAAAAATGTTGTTACAGTGTGCTACAATTCATCGGTGTGTGTGTGTGTGTGTGTGTGTGTGTGTGTGTGTGTGTGTTCAGAGGCTTGAATCATTTCTACCAGTCTGGGTTTTCCTAGTTAAAACAGAAGGCTAGTCTTTAAGGGAATTATAGTGGAAATGATAAATCAACATTTTCTTAGGCTCAAGTACATTGGTTTAGTTTGGATTTACTATGAGTCCTTATAATTCTAAGGGGAATACAGTTTATAAATATAAATATTTTTCAGTGCTAAGCAATTGAAAGATAAAGAGAAGAAAAAGAGAAATTCCTTTCCCTAGAGCTTACAGCCAATGAGCATCAGAAATAAAGCTACTTTGAGTGAAGAGGAAAGTATTACTCTTTGGATTTTGAATATCTGATAGGCAAAACAGAATATAACATCTGAAACATGATTTCATACACACTGAAAAAATATTCACACATTTAGCATACATTGAATTACATATGTTTTGAAATTATTATTACTTTTTTTTCTTTTTCACTTCTTGTGGTTTGATTAAGAATGGTCCCCATGGTCTCATACTTGAATGCTTAAGACATTATCAAGTGGCAGTATTCAAAACGATTAATCGGATTAGGAGGTGTGGCCTTGTTGGAGAAAGTGTCAGTAAGGGGTGGGCTTTGAGTTTCAAAAGCCCAGGCCAACTCCAAAGTCTGTCTGTCTATCTGTCTGTCTGTCTGCCTGCCTGTCTGTTTCTCTCTTTCTCTGCCTATGGATCAGATCAGGATATAGAGCTTAACAGCGTGTGTGCCATCATGTGTCATGCCATGATGATAATGGACTAACCTCTGAGACCAAAAGCAAGCCCCCAATTAAATGCTTCCTTTGGTAAGAGCTGCCTTGGTTATGTGTCGCTTTACAGCAATAGAAGATTGACTAAGATACTTCTTAATATGTGGCTACAAAACAAAAGAAGTAAAATTAGCATCTGTAGCTGAAACTGTATTTCTATTGGGCAGTGTTTCTAAAGGTTTTTAAAGGAGTTTAGCCTCGGAGTAGGAGCAATGTTGAGAATATAATGACTACAGACAGTGACAGTAGAGAGAAGATTATCCCATCGATTTTTAAATGTTCAATTTATTCTCATAGGAAGATGGCTTCATAAAGAAGTTTGAACCTAAATCTGGCTGGCTGACTTTTCTACAGATGACAGGACAGATCTGGGAAATGCTCTTTCTCCTCAAGCAACACTACTGACCAGAGAGAACCCTGGCTTCTGAGAGAATGGTTACCAGCACTTGGTATTTCCATTTACAAACAGATAACATAGAGGACAAAACTTGACTTTCCAGAGTTGCAGATATTGTTTCCACTTTAATGAATAAATTACTAATATTTGTTTCTGAATGTGTTTCATGATTTCAGTTTCGAGTCTGTCATTCAATACAGGGGACAGGTACTGAAGTAAGGACTGATGATGACCTGGAAGGGTCCTTTTTGTACTTCTACCATGAGGTAGAGACCTTCCCATAGGGATGTGCTCATGATCTAAAAGGCTGTGTTACTAGGCTAAACCTTACGGAGGCTAAAATCTGCTTCCTACCTTTTCCTGGGTCTGTGTCATACTCATATGTATCCATTCTCAGAGCCCCTGGCTTTTTACAGTTTTTCATTGATGCCCTCTCCTCAACCTTTACTCTTTGGCCTTTCATTTGGGGTTTATAGATAGGACAGTCAGATAAGCAGTGTTGGGACTAAAAGAAAATCACTGTCCTCTCTGACCTCCTCTTGCCTTCTTTCTCTCACCAACTCATATTTTCTCCCAAGGCAAGATGCAAAAAGTGGAACTCATTTTCCCCAAGTCAAGTCATAGGCAATAGTCAGGTTATATGTGATCAGTCTGATTTTCTAGTAGTCAAGAAGTGATCACTGCTCTATCTGCTTCTACAGCAAGAAACTGGAGAGGTTTGAACTGGAGAGGTAGCTAAATGGAGGAATATCAAACCATTATTAAACTTGATTTGTGTGTGTGTGTGTGTGTGTGTGTGTGTGTGTGTGTGTGGAGAGACAGAGACAGAGACAGAGACACACAGAGAGAACTATCTTTTGTTAGACCATGTTCCAGTAGATCAAGTTTGATGGCAATATAGAAATCCTCTATTTGGTCTAGATCACTTGTATTATATTTCCCTTGAGGCTGTTGGTAGATCCTGTAAAGACAGATCCTCTCTTTCCAAGACCAGGTATATCTTTACAAGGAGTCTCAGAGGTGATTCCTAATTAAGGGAATGAAGACACAGAGCAAGTCAGTAATGAACCTAACTTCTGGTCATTCTGAGGGCTAGGATTACAGATATGGTATTGCCACATTCAATTTGTGTGGTGTTAGAGGTCGAGCCTCCAGGCTTTGTGCATAGCAATGGCTTCATATCCTAAGCAGAATGGTTTTCTGTTTTTTTTTTTTTTAAAGATTTATTTATTTATTTTAAGTATATGAGTACACTGTAGCTGTCTTCAGACACACCAGAAGAGGGCATCCAATCTCATTATGGGTGGTTGTGAGCCACCATGTGGTTGCTGGGATTTGAACTCAGGACCTCTGGAAGAGCAGTCAGTGCTCTTAACCGCTGAGCCATCTCTCCAGCCCATGGTTTTCTGTTTTAATCACCACATTTTAAACTGGAGACGTAGAAAGAAATAAGCAAGAAGACCAGATAGGAATTTACTTAGAATCCTACTGAGGTGAGTCAAAACCAGTTATCACTTTGAGCTCTGATGCCCACAGTGAGCCACTTGCTAGAATGTTCCACAACACCCCGAAACAGTGTCACCAGATGGGGGACTAAGTGTTCAGATACATGTGACTGTGGGTGGGGGAATTTCACCTTCAAACCTTGAAACTGTGTTTTAAGACACACACATCTCACTGTGTAGCTTAGCATGATCCTACTGGCACAGTCCTCCTGCCTCGGTCTCCTGAATGCTGAGAGTCGAGGTGTGTGCCACCACATTCAAGACATTCTATGTGACCTTTCTTTGCTTTTGTTTTGAGTCAGGATCTTGCTATGTAGCTTAGAATGGCCTAGAACCTTCAAGGTTCAGACATTGCCCTGTGTGACCTTTAACAACCTGTCTGCTAAATGAATGAAATGAATGGGATCTCTTCTTCCTTTGTTTCAGCACCCTTTAGTATCAAGTACAGCTTCCTCTAGTATCTGAAACTTTTATGTTATTGAATCTTTCTATGATTTTGATTTCTACTGGAAATAATGGCTCCAGATGATTGAAAACATTGGGGAAATAGCGATATCACTGATCCTGTCATGGTGCCTTATTGTTAGCATTCCTTCTAGGGGCTGCCCAACAGTTACCTAGCAACAGTCAGGTAGGAGACTGGCTAGCTATAAAAGGACTGTTTGGCCTCTGGGGGGCTCTCTCAGACCCTTTTCTCTCTCTGATGACCCAGTCTCTGTCTCCTTTCCCCTCCCCTCCTCCCCATGCATTCTGGCCAGCTTCTTCTCTTTTCTTTCCCCGCCACCTCTCTCTTCTCTTTCTCTGTCTTTATAGTGCTCCTCCAATCTACTTACTTTATTGCCGGCTCCACTCTCAGCCAAAAGTCCTGTTAGAGAAAGGCATTATTTGTCTCTGAACAGCAGATTCCAACAGCGGCAAAAGCGGTTACATAGTTGTATAATAATGAACAGGATGACTGAATTCTAAGCTCTCCAGAGAGGGGACATCCATCTTCAGAAAGGGCCTGCCATTTGTTATAAAAGCGGTCCCAAAATCTATCAGTAATGAGCCAACTGACTGAAAAATTGAGAGGAAGGCACTTTGTGGTAAAGGAGAATGCTTTATCCGCTGACCAGGTGGAACCAAGAGTCTACCGATATGATGTACTATGATGTACGCATATCTGGCTTGCTTTGCCCTTCTGATGCTTCTCCAGCCCTGTACTCCACAATAAGATGGATATTGAGTCCTGGAGTATAGTTGACAGCCTTTGTTAGTCCCTCTGCAGAAGCATGGCTACCTTTTGTGGGCTGTGAGAGAGGGTAAGCGTACTGGGCTACGTGCACAGTCCCCAGCTATCAAGCACGAAAGGTCAAGGACGCCACGGCAGGCTGCTATTCGCTGCCACACAACGGACGACTGCTCAGATGCCTAAGTGGCCTGTGCACCTTTGCTGGTTTACAGAGGCAGGGGGCGTGATCAGGAATTTGGAGTCCAGCCCCTGGAGCTCCGACCCATGGACCGCAGCGCGGCCGAGGGTGATGGGCGTGGCCGGGGCGGTGCTTGCCAGGAAATGGCGGCGGTCGCTGTATGCGGCGCCAAGCGGAGCCTGCGGGCAGAGCTGAAGCAGCGCTTGCGGGCCTTGAGTGCGGAGGAACGGCTGCGCCAGTCACAACTCCTCACACAGAAGGTGCGAGAAGACTGCCGGGAGTTAAACTCCGGGAAGGTTGGGCTAGCGTGTCTGCGCAGGCGCACCTCTCTGGGTCGCCCGCGCGTTCTCTTGGGCGCGCGCGCCGCCGCGGGCAGGGGCGGGCTCTGGGTCGCCCCGGAGCTTCTGAGGGGCCTGCGTCCTGGGCACGTTTCTTCATTCAACCGAGTTATTTTGTTATTGCGAGGAAAGGCATTGCAGCCAGCCTTAGTAGATGTAGAGACTGTCGAACCACGCCCACACTTTCAGGTTTAAATGTAATCCATTCTCGTGTGTTGAACACATAGTAAACTATTTTTCTTTGTGTTGGGTAATAGAGATGGCAAACATGATTTGTTGCCCTTGCCCGTAACCGATCGGAGGATCTAGCAGAGGAAGCAGACAAATGAAAAATAGTCGTGCCGGGGATATGGGTCAGTGATACAACTGTTCAAAAATGCGCTATATTTTATTTGTCCATACTTAGAACATACAATGAATGTGGGTCTGTTTTTCTAGGAGTTTTAAGTCACCTGTTTTAGGCAAAACTAGGCTGAGTTTTATCCACGGGTAGTTTACTGTTCATGCTGTGATTTAACTGCATTCTCTGCACACTTACACCTTGGGTTGCTACTTCTGAGTTCGGGTTGTTTCTGGTACTCGTTGTCTTGTTTTGTCTCCTTTCTTACTTAGTTTTCCTTCTCAGCTTTCCTAGAGTATATCCTCAAAGGGATTATTTTAAAGAAAATACCAATACGATTGGCGTTATTTGTAGTTGAAATGTATTCGTGTTTTGCTTGCACGTATGTAAGTACATTGTGTGTGTGCCTGGTGCCTTAGCTTAGAAGTGAGTGCCAGATCCGTTGGAACTAGATAGAGTTAAGGCAGGTTGTAAGTCCCTGTGTGGGTGCTAGAAATTGAACCCAGGTTGTCTGCAAGAGCAGTACATGATCTTAAACTGCTGAGGCATCTCTTTAGACCCAACTTTTAAATATATGTTAAAATATTTTCAACTCCAATTTGATCCATTTATTTCAAGATTTAATTATTCTTTTCTCATTCTGCTTAATACCTATAGGTTCCAATCTAGAGACTAATGTTTTTATTTATGCATTATAATTTGTGGCTTAGCTATTGTTTTATTGCTCTGAAGCAGCTTATAAAAGGAAGCATTTAATCTGGGCTTGCTTACAGTTTCAGAAGGCTGGTCTGTGATCATTTAGGTGGGAAGCATTGGAGAAGGCAGGCAGGCAGGCAGGCAGGCACTAGAGAAGTACCTGGGCACTTACATCTTACCCACAAGATGAAGATAGTGGGCCTGCCATAGGCTGTGGGCTTTGGAACCTCAAAGCTCACTTTGGTGGTCTCTGTGACCACAGATGCCAGAAGAGTTATCAGCATGAAGCAAGAAGGTGGTGTGACTCAACATGACTCAATAGCTGGTGTTGGTTCAAACTTCTAGAGTCTTACACTGGGCGGTTTATTTTAGGCATATTTAAGTCTCCTGGTTATAATGAACATAATCCAGTGTGAACAAAGCTTAACCCATAATTATTTAGAAACTCTTTACAAGGTACATGTGTCTTCTCCCATAGAGATGGATTCTATAGACTGACTACATGTGACACATTAAGGGTCTTGGTGTGGTCTCAATCATACAGATAGTGCCACAGTCACCAGATTATTAACTACCTCTGCTCCCATTTGTAAAGTACACATGATGTCTCCCACAAAGATAGGTTCTATTGACTGAGAAACAACGCTTGAGGTAAAGGTCTAGGGAGGAGGACTGAGACAGAAGTAAGAATCTGGGAAAGCCACATGTGGCTTGACCATACAGATGGCTCAGAGGTCACCAGGCTATTAACTAAATTCATTCCCAGCCTTCTAGATGTAAAACAGGTTTTGTATCTCTCCCTTTGAAGAGACAACAAAACACTGAAATGTATGACCCTCTGGTGTTTATTCTCATTCAGACTGTTACATCTTGATTATTGCTTTTCCTTTGTATCTTTCAGAATTTTTTAAAAATTAGATAATAAATATTCTAGATTAAACTTCTGTGTCTCTTAACTACTTTCTTATTTTTTTCTTAATCTTTCTCCCCCACAGGACCTCCTCCTAGATTGTTTTCATTTGGCCAGTCACAGTTTTAATGTCCGATGAGTGTTCCTTAGGTCGCTTACTGATTCCTTTCCCTAGCGGTCTATTAATGTTTTATAGATTCAGTTATTGTTTTCAGTTTGTCTGAGAAGACTAATTAGAATGTAAAAATCATCTCCGTCTGCATATTTATGTCTTTTGGGGCTAGTGAGCCCCAACTCAGTACATTGTACATGGTAGTGGATGAAACCCCTGGCCCTTGCCTCTATATATTTATGAATGAAAGTGTGTTAGCTCCACGCTTTCCTCTGTTTGTGCAGATACTGTTTGGGATTCCAAGGGAAGACAGGATTCTGCCCACCTCCTGTGTCCACGTTTTAGTGCTGCTCTGTCTATAAATACTGTCTCATCTTCCCTGTGTCTTATAGGAATTATTGTCTTCATCCTCCCTAACAGATAGCGTGTAAATGGGCTTGAGGAAGGAAGGCGAATGCATATGCATAGTCTCACACTGAATTTTAGCTGTGTGTCTTACTGCTTATTCAGCTCTTGGTTTTCTACACTCTGCTTTAAAGAGATTGAGAAAAAATACTTTGTCATATAGTAAGTGGTGTCAAAAGCCCCAGGCCTGCTCCGAATCTGGGTTTCGCCTTTCCATTTGCTTCACTGAAATGCCGACAGTTCCTGATAGCTTCACAGGGTGGACTTCCTTCCATAGCCCCAGTTTGCTAAGCTTTGCTTAACTTCTCTCTTTCCTTGGTATTAATGTAACTTGACTTTCCCTTGTGTCCTTCTGCCAGTCATATTTGTAAGCTGCCCTTGCTTTATCCTTCTTTTCTTAGCTTGGAGGGCAGGGGAGAACAGAAAAGGAATAGACACAGAAAGGGAGTAAGGGGCCAACTTCTGAGTCTGAGTGACTGCCTAGGACTTTATAAGCAGAACTTAGTTCCCACTGCCTGCCGAGCGATTTCACTAAGTGTAGATTCTTGGACTCAGAGCCCTTTGCCCCCATCTTAATGAACTCTGAGAGTACCTAATTGAATGGAATGGCACTGGTTGAGCTAAGAGACTGTTACCAGCATGTTCTCTGTGGGAGCTTGTGGACAGATTCAGAATCCTTCCTTTAGGATACATAAGCAGTGATTGACTCGGGACTCACCATATAGACTGAAGTGTTGAGTTGCAGTCCCTACAACGTAGCAGAGGTTCTATAGAAGTCAGTAAGGTTATCTCAATGGGACTTAAATGGGTAAAATCAGTGGAAGAAATGTCCAATGATCCAAGGACTGGAAATTTTGTGAGATCCAAATTTCAAAGAAAAACATAAGCCTCAAATCTTCAACTAAGGTGAGGTGTACTGTCAGGAACTGGAAATTGGGATCACATCTGGGACTCTGAAGGTAGACAGCTTTCTCATTCTGTGTCTTCTTAAGGAATTTCTACAGGGTCCAGCATAGGCATATTAGAGAGATGAAGAAATCAAGTATGCAAATCTTGAGGTTTGAAATAAAAATCAGGAATCAGGATGTAGCCTCAACTCACTGCATCACTTTTTTTGAAGAAGGCCATGACAGAAGGGGAAATTGGTAAGAGAAGTTACTAGTTTATGAAGAATACAGTCTTAAAAATTAAAATTGCCATCATTTCCCACTTAGGTGATTGCCCACAGTCAGTATCAAAATTCCAAAAGAATTTCCATCTTTCTGAGCATGCAAGATGAAATTGAGACGGAAGAAATCATCAAGGACATTTTCAAACAAGGCAAAATCTGCTTCATCCCTCGGTACCAATTCCAGAGCAATCACATGGACATGGTGAGATTAACGTCACCCGAAGAAATCGCTTTTCTTCCCGAGACATCTTGGAATATTCATCAGCCCGATGAGGGAGATGTTCGGGAGGAGGCCTTATCCACTGGTAAGGCATCTTTTCTCCCATCAGAACACTTAACCTTGGTGCATCCTAGTTCATCTGATCTTGGAAGCTAAGCATGCTCACGCTTGGCTAGCTTGGGAGAATTGATATCTTTGCATATTTTGACAATTTCATCAGATTTTTTTTCTTCTTATAAAAATCTTTTCTCCTCCTCCACCCCCCCCCTTGTGTGTTTTGTGAGACAGTCTCACTGTGTAGGGAGGCTGGCTTCAAGCTCTCAAAGTCCTGCCTCCCCAGTGCTGCACTCATGGGCGTACACCACCTCTCTGGCTTCTGCCAGATATTTTTATCTATTTTTTGGTCAGTTCTGTTTGTATGTCTAGGAAGCTAAGGCTCAGTGTCTGAAAGGACTCACCCTGTAGCTGGGGAGACAGACATTTTATGTTAATGAAAGTATCTCAACTTGTACTATACATCAAATATAAGAGTCAAATAAAAAAGATATTCAATATCGAAAACACTGCAGTTCAGGGACCGGTCTTGCAAATGTGCATCCCCAACACGCGCTTATTCATCTGCATCCTCTGTTCTCTATCCATGCCGTGTTTGTGGCAGCAGTGGCTTTTCTGCTCCTGTGATACTTACAACCCAGGTTGCAGTAGAATAGACTATGAGGATTTAGGCTCTTTCAGTTGTGGTATGAGGCAGTGTCCCCCCGCCTCCCCCACACCCATGTTGTTTGCAGAAATGTCTGAGCAGGCAGGCTTTCTGTTTTCTCGTCACATCCCACTCAGTGTGCAGTTTTACTTGCATCAGCAATTTAGAATGTGGCAAGTTCAGTGCTAAAGCATAAATCAAGCTTCACTGTGTTCGAGGTGAGCCAATGGGAGCTCAGATTGTCTTTGCTGCAGCCTCTGCTGTCTACTCATCTTCCTGGTTTGCCTTTGTTATCTCAGCTTAGAGAAGGGTGAACTTGTGTACCAGAGTTGCCATTTACAAGTTCTCAAGCAAAAAATGCTTGTAAGGTATTCTTGTCTTAGGTTTACAGGAGACTAAACGAGCTGGTAAGTGAAATAGAGGGGTTGTCTCTTTACTGAATTTATCCTTAAAGTGAGGACTGCTTAGACAATTTGATTAGCCAGGAGTCTTTCCATTGAGAATGTATAATCTGATTCAAGCTTAATTAACTTGGCATAAGCACTAGGGGGTAATGTTGGTACAGAAACCGAAGGCCACACGAAGAGGCAGCTTCAGTGTCTCTGGATTAGTGTTCTTAGGAGTCAGTCTGTCTTTGTTAAGACTCTGTATCTATGTTGGTTTTGTGTTCATTGTGGCCCATGGCAGCTTGGACTTACATCACCTCTAGAGCTAGAATTCCCAGCAGAAAAGAGCAAGTCTGGTTATCTAATAGTCCCAATACAATTTTTGTCCTAACTCTTATTGCTTGAAGTGGTCATCCCTGAATTAATCACTATGAATAGACACGGAATTAGTTTACTGGCTACTGGCTCACTCCTGGGTTGTATACAACCATTCCTGACTGGTTTTCTGTGACTGAGGAAAAGGACCTATGGCTACCTCTTCAGCTCTCCTCACCCACTGAGCTGAATTATAGGGGTGAGGTGAGAGTGACATGTGCTGTTCTAGAACGAATATGGCCCAGCCAAAAGTTACCATTTCTGAGGTCCTATAGAGAGGCTCCTGAATAACTTTTAGATGCTGTCACTGGTTTTTTTTTTTTTTTTTGAGACTTCTTAATAATTCATGTCTGTGAGAATACCCAAGATAAAGTAGGTGACTGCAATGATCTGATAGTGCTCCACCATGACATGTTACAGTAGTTAGAGGGGCACTGTCCAGGGCAAGGGCTTTGGATTTGCCCATCTAGGTTGATCAGTAAGTGCTCCTCGGGAGGTTAGGATTTGTTCACTGAGAGTAAATTCACATTCAGTTGTCCCGTTTCCTTCTTTGCTAGGACTGTGTGGTTCCTGTGGAATCACAGCGGACAGTGGGCATGGGTTTCCTCAAGGTCTTTCACAGAGTTTTTATTTGTTATAGAGAACTTGCAAATAAGAAATACCAGAGTCATGATATCTTTGGGAGTAGACTAAAGAAATTTTAATTGTGTCACAAATTTGAAAATGTTTTATTTTTTTTAATTTTTTTAATTTTTATTTTTTGAGATGGGATCTCAGTTCGAAGGCCAGGCTGGTCTTGAACTCACAATCTGATATATGCCTCAGCCTCCAAGGTTTATAGACCTATATAGCCATCTGGCTGGTAAATATTTATTAAGTGCTTAGTCCAGTAGTTCTCAATCTTCCTAATGCCTTGTGACTTTCCTCATGCTGTGGTGACCCATAAAATTATTTTTGTTACTACTACTTCATAACTGTGACTTTGCTACTGTTATGAATTATAGTGTGAAAATCTAATATGCAGGATATCTGATAGGCAACCTATGTAAAAGGGTCACTCAACCCCTAAAGGGTTGGGGAACCCGTGGACTGTCTATGAGAAGTGTGACGGGGACCTGCTTCCCGCAGTAGTAGAGTTAACTAGCTGTTGTTCTCATAGAGGTTGGCTTCTGTTAGCAAGACAGGTCCTCTTTTTTGAGCTGACCTGTTCACCTTTGTGTTAAACATCAAGATGTTCCACCATTCCTTAATTTCACATTCATAAATTTATGTTTTTTGTATATTTCTGTTTGAAGCTAGCATGTGCCTATAAAATTATTCTTGTCTCTCTTTTTTAACCATCCAATTATCAAGTATTCTGGATTTTTCTTTACAATATATTTGTGTGCAGTGCATGTGTGTAGTCTGCATTTGTGTGTGCACAGCTGTGTGTAGAAGCCAAAGAAGGGTGTTGGATGTCCTGCTCTATCGCCTTCAACCTTACTGCTTTGAACTAGGGTCTCTCACCAGCCTGGAGGTAGGCTGGCAGCGATCAAGCCACAATGGGTCCACTTTATAATGCTGGGTTACAGACACAACTGCACCTGGCTTTTTATGGGTGCTAGGGATTTGAACTAAGATCTTTTTGCTTCTGCAGCAAGCATTCTTAGCCACTCAGATATTTCCCCAACTCCTCTTTGTACAATTTTTATCGCCTGCTTCTGATCCCAGCAATCTTTTATTGATAGTTGACTCTTCACATTGACTATTGCCCTAGAATGACTTTCAAACTTGTTTCCTGATCATATTGGTTTCTCTTGGATGCCTTTTTACACAGCTCACCCATCTGTTAGGTCTTGGATACTGTAATGATCTCTGTCTTTGGCTAACAGTACTTTCTGCTCGTCTGTTGTGGACAAAAGCTGGGAACTTGGATAATGAGCCAGGTTCCCCCTTGCTTCCTGCTCTTTCTCCCACAGTGCTCTGCTGGAGGACAGCATTTCATTGCAGTTGTCAGTGAGAGATTCAGGACTGATCTCTAGTTTTACACCTTTCTAATGATGACGTCAGCCCCTGAGCTCTTGTGAAATTCAGATATCTCACCCAGAGGTGGAGCTCATGAGGCCTACCCATAGGCTGTTGCAGAGATTCAGTGAGCTGAATAAAGTCTGAATGGTAGTTGTTCAGTGAAGGTACCCTTGCTGCTGTGTCTGCTGTTTTGCTAGGGTTGTGTTGTAGTGCACATGGCCATCTGTGAAAATGAGGCTTGCTGTTTTCCAGTCTAGAATGTGTCATGTGTTTCTTCAGGATAGAATATTGCAGTCCAGTGTCTGACATCACTGGCCCTCAGATTATAATCTGGGTTCAATTCCTTACCAATCTGGCAAATGACTTAAAGCTGAAAGGACCTGAGAGTTGGAACTAATGAAGCCGTTTTGTAGTGAGAGTAAAGTAGGATGATACACAGTTAAATGCAGCACAGTGTGTCGTCATGAGGAATCAGTAAAATGCCGCTATCATCATTGCGTACCATTTTCCATGGCTGCTCTCAACTCCCTAGTCTTTTTCTTCTGTGATTATTAAATCCTTGGCACTCAGCATTAGTCTCCATGTTTTATTAATTTTTCTTGGGAATATATATATATATTTGTGTCAATAGACTTAGTCTCTATAGGGGCCAAGATTTTGGTCTAAGATGCTGTGTCCCCAGTACTGCCTATCTAGTATGTATAGCCATCCAGGCAGGAAGGAAGACAGGCTAAGGAGAGAGACAAGGTGCCCTTTCCTTCAGATATCATTATTGAAACAGTGGTCCCAAGGAATTGACTTTTCCCAAAATTCCCATGCCAAGAGATGGAGAAAGCTGAGGGCTGATGCCACCCAGGGAAGGACTTTGTCTCCCAAGGAGAGATTCACACAGTTCGGACACCTTTCCAGACTACCTAGCAGGAGAAACTGGAGCAGAAACAGTGATGGGCAATGACCACACCATGAGTGGGACTGCTTATTTATATACAACTCTTGCCTGCTATATAAATGTAAACCTTGGGGCTAGCAAGATGGCTCAATAGGTAAAGATTCTTCCTCACCAAGCTGAGGACTTGAGTATGATCCCAGAACCCATTAGGTAGGAGAGAAAACTGACTCCTGTACTTGACTCCTGACTTCCTACGTGCTTGGTAACGTGTGCTTCCTTCCCTAATAACTAACAGAATAACTAACTAAATGTGTAAATAGAGGCATACTCAAAATGTGAATGTCACGGCCAGACCAGCAGAGAGTTGGGTAGGGCGGCATTCACTGAACCTCTTTATTGATTCCGCCTTCCAATGTGGCCACATTGGATTAATCTCCTTTCTCTGCTTTGTACTACTGTCTGTTTAATTGGCCTTTTGAGGGCAGTGGCTGAGTCTGGCTTGTTCTATTTCCCAGAGTCTATGCTCTGGCCCTAATAACTTTGGCAACATGTTGATTCATACTGGAGATTTCTCAAAGTAAATCTAAATTTATTATAAGTTCAGATAATGTTAATATGGATGAATAGATGTTCAGTCCTTTATAGCCATGAAAGAAAACCTGAATTTGAAAAGCTACAAAGAATACATGGGAATTATTTTATAGATGATGTATTTTTTCTTATTTGTA